TGGATGGATGGATGGATGGATGGATGGATGGATGGATGGATGGATGGTCCTTAGCTGGACAACCAAGAAGGCAGTCGTAATTGAGGTTGGAGCAGCAGGAGCAACAACGCAGGAATAAATTTAGCGGAAAAGAGTTAAAAAACATGGTATGTGTGTGTGTGGGTGGGGGGGGGATGCTTGACAGAATTGGAGCTGCTCCATTCACACACAGCCTGTTGTTGCTCTCTAAAATATTTATTAAATCAAATGTGAACAAATGTTGGTAAACGTCGATGTTTAACAACCTGTTAAAATAGGCTACACCAAGATGCAGGAAATAGCATCTACTTTATTCAAAAATTGAAGGGGGAGGAGGACCCACAAGCCCCCCCACCCCACCCCCGGCTATTTGCATTCCGGCATCGATCAGTTTATAAAGTAAGCCCTGTGTGGAACCAACTTCCAGTTTTTGTCCGTGAGGCTGACACATTGTCCAGTTTTAAGACTTTCTTTTTGGATAAATCCTATAGTTAGGATTGCTTTGGGTTTCTTGAGCTATCCCGTAGTTCTGCTGCTATAGGCTTAGACTGCTGGAGAACAAACCGACCACATTTCTTCACTCTGCTGCTGTCTTACTCTACTTAACCTGTCTTGTATTTGTAATTTTTTTTTCTATCCTTCGACGTGTTTTTTGTCTTTCTTCCAAAAGGGGGTACACCTGCACCTACACCTGCCATTTGTCCTTTGTCTCTCTTTTCTGTTCCTCTCAAACCCAGCTGGTCGAAGCAGATGGCCGCTCGTCCTGAGCCTGGTTCTGCTGTAGATTTCTTCCTGTTAAAAGGGAGGTTTTCCTTTCCACTGTTGCCATCGTGCTTGCTCAGGATGGGAGACTGCAACGAAGTGAAGATTCAATGAGTCTGCTGGCTTCTAATTGACTTTTCTATGTATGTGAATGTTTCTGTTCAGTGGCCTGAGACAACTTTGTTGTGAATTGGTGCTATATAAAAACACTGAATTGAAAATTCATTTTTAAATAAAACTCGATTTTAAATCAAAAAACAACCTTTCTTAATGAAACTAACTGCTGGATGTCCAGCCCCTGAGCTGTTGGCCTTCAGTAACTGAGCCCCCTGAGCAGTTTAGTTGAATAGCCCTGCTCATTATGTTGGTGTTAGCCAGGCCCGTTAGTCCAGAAGGCTGCAGCTCTTCTTTTATCACAAACAAAAATGTGTGAACGTATCACCTTGGTGCTGCTTCCCTTCATTGACCCCCGTTCGTTTTAGATTTGATTTTAAAGTTTTATTGATGAGCTGTGAGGGCCTGAATGGACAGACTCCTGTAGACCTGTATGGCAGCCTCATCTGCCCTCCAGATCTCTTACATCTAGTTATCATTTGGTTGTCCTGACACCCAGGCTGGTCCACAGAGGTGACCAAGTCTTTCCAGTTATAGCTCACACTGTGGAATCATTTACTCAATCATGTCTCAAAATATTTTATACATTCAAGACATTACGGTATAGAATTTTGGCTTTGTAATGTTTTTTGTGTTAAGTATCAGTTTTACCGTTCTGAAATTGTAACGTTTGGTTACCGTTTAGCTATTTTTAAGATTAAAACTACTGTTTAACTGATTTAAGCTTTTATTTACTGGCTTGCTCGTTTTAGCTTTTACATACCATTTTTAAAGTTATAATTTTTGGCTACTACTTTACCAATTTTAACATTTCAAAACGGTTTCATGAGTTTTAGTTTTTAGCAACAGTTTTGCTGATTCTAGATTTTAGTTACCTTTTGCTAATCTTATCTCTTAGCTACTGTTTTGCATGATTTTAGCTTTGCTCTGATTATTTTATTTTTTAGACATATGTTACAGCTTTTAAAAAATATTTCAGCAGAGTCAGTTGAACCCACATCATTACTGCTTTGTTGCAGAAAATGAAGGTTTTTCTTGTGGTTTCTATCTCGTGTTCAATTGTCCCACATACCTTTAATTAACTTGACCCTGAAACGTTCCAACTATAATAAATAAAAATTGGGGCTACCAAAACTCACCCAACTGTATGTTACGGACCCACACACTCTGTTTAGTCTCCTTAAGGATCTTCTCAAAGTAAACTCCAGCGAAACCACTGGACACACAGGCCATGAGAACGGCCATGAGTCCCATGAACTGGGAGCTGGCAGTCAGTACCTTCTGCTCGGTGTCACCCCCAGACTCTGTGGGCCACTGTGGAGGTAAAATAATTATACTCTTGGTCAGATTGAAGATAACTAGAACATCACTCATATAGAGCAGCTCAACTGTATTCATTGCTGAGGTGGTCAGCTGGTACCTGAACCAAAGTGACTCCAGCCATGAGGAGGAGCAGGGAGAGCCACTGGTAGAGGCCCAGCCTCCTTCCGAGCATGGAGACGGAGAACAGCGCCGTGGTGAGGATCTTCAGCTGATACGTGACCTGCATGGATCACAAACAATTTATTGCTTGTGTTGTTTTTTTTTTGTTTTTTTTAAAACACCACCTTTCTTTTTGACATCCACTAAAAATAGCAACAAATTTTAATAAAAAGAAAATTCAACTGAAAACTAATTGTTTGATGGTCTGCAATACTGAGATACCGGTAACTCTTTTGGTTGTGTTATTGTTTTTATTTTATTCATACGCTGTGGTGTTGTTAGAAGCACTGCCACCTGAAAACAAGAAGGTTGCAGGTTTGCTTCCCAGGCTTTCTGGGTGGAGTTTGCATGTTCTTCCAGTGCAAGCATGTTTTTCTCAGGGTGCTCAAGCTTCCTCCCACAGACCAAAACATGCATGCTAGGTTAACTCTAAATTGTCCCTAGGTGTGAATGTGAATGTTCATCTCGTTTGTCTCTATGTGGCTCTGTGATGGACCTTTGACCTGTCCAGGGTCTAGAGCAGGGTTATTCAACTAAATTGCTCATGGGGGCCTCAGTTACTGAAAACTAAGAGCTCAGGGGCCGGACATCCAGCAGTTATTGTCATTAGGTAAATTTGTTTTACGGTTTAAAATCTAGTTTTATTTAAAAATGAACCCATTGGTGAGCCGAACAGAGTTCACCAGTGGACCTGATTTGGCCCCCGAGCCGCCAGTTGAAGAGCCCTGGTCAGTCTCAGCTACTGTCACATCAGGTTTATGGCTCAAGATCCATACTTCTGAGGTAGTAAGTTTTGAGTTTGCCAAGATTGCTTTCTTGTGGCAGCCATCTTGAATTAACACCCAAATTTAATCAATCATTTAATTTTGATTCATGAGATATTTTACTAATGCCACATGCACACAGGCACATTCTTGTAAATGTACTTTTTGGGGACTTTGCATCGACTTCCATTCATTTTCTATAGCGTAACCCTGACCCTTACCCTAAACCTAACTATTACTAGTACATGCCTAACCCTAACCCACCAAAGGCACTTCTTCTGATGGGGCCTGGACTTTGGGCCACATAAGGAGCAGTTGGTCCTCACAATGTAGCATAAGTTGGAAAAATGGGCCTTACAAGGTAACATAAACAAAGACACACACATACAGGGAAAACATTTTTGCTACACAACAATAATAAAATGTAGCTATGGCTCCTATCATTAGTCGCTAAAAACATAAAATGGGAGAAGTGTCCGACGAACCCTTCGAGGCCGTTTGTTGTGATCGTCATTGTGAGACGTGGGTTCTGCCGTGTTTTGACGACAAACAGTCACTGATATTTTGTGAACACTTAAGTAAATTATCTCAGTTTGAAACAAGAGGACACTATCTCTCCTTTCACTTCTTTACACTGGTTCTTAGTGGCCTTTAGCAGCACAAATGCAGACTGCCTTTAAATAAAACACACACGCATGTACAGTAACCTACTAACAATTTGACTTACAAACACAAACATTCATCATTTCTGGTTTGATCTGTGCCGTCGTGGCAGTGAAACATGTTAAACTCTGTGAGTCAGGGGGCAAGCCTTGCGTAGACATAAAGAGCTTATTTAAGTTCACAAAAACAGGAATGCGTGTTTTAATTTAATCCATGAAATTATGCTCCAACACCTCCATACACTGAAGAGCTTGTGTTGGCTAAGCAAAGCGGGCATTGGGAAAATAGATAAGATGCGTCATTTTATACCACTATTATGAGAGGGTTGTAAATAAAACCTATTTGACCTAAAAAAAATACTGTGTTCTTAAACTTTTTTTAAAAAGTGCTGAATCATAGGGCGCCACAGTTTGTACACACAGTTAATGGGAACCAGCACACTCATGTGTAACCTGATAGGTAGCTGCATCCAGGTTGGATAAGGCAACATAGAGCAGATTGTTCTGCAGAGTGTAGATCCCTGCAGGCACGGCCAGCTTCATGGTCTCTGCAAGCTTGGTTACAATCTCCTCCTTCAGCTGCAGGTTCATGGCTCGAACGCTGTAATCTGACAGAAACAAAGAGAGCGTTGTTGATTTGCCCACCTGAAGACACCACATAAATACAGCAGCTCCAGAGAGCATTCAGAACTTTTTCCACATTTTCCAATTTTATTATTCTGCAGCCTGGTGCCAGAATCATCTAACTCAGTCTTCCACAGCGATAATACAAAAACAGGTTTGTACAACTGTATGAATTTATTTAAAAAAATGGAAATGTCCTATTTTCACAAGCATTCACACCTTTTTGCAACAACCCTTGAAATTCAGCTCAGACTCCTCCCATTTCTCTCGCTCTCTACTGAGATATTTCTTCATTTGGATTGAAGCCCACTTGTTGTAAATTAAACTAATTGGACAATATTTATTATATAAGAAAAACCCCAGTTGACAATCGGAGCAGAAACCAGACCATGGAGTGAAAGGAACCATCTGCAGAGCTCAGAGACAGATTTGCTGGAAGGCCCAGATCTGAACTACCAAAACAATTCTGTGACACTGAAGGTTCCCCCAGAGCTCAGTGGGCTCAAAATTTCTCTGATAGAAGGGGTTTGACCCAACCAGGACTTTTCCTTGGGCTGGTTACCATGCTGAACAATCGAGGGAGAAGGGCCTCAGTGAGAGGGGCGACCAAGAACCTGTTGGTCACTGACTGAGCGTCAGAGATCACGTGTGGGGACAGGAATCGGTTCCAGATGGAAAACTAGAACTACTGTACTCTAATGATCTGATCTTTATAACAGAGTGGAAACCTCTCCCTTGTGCAAAACACTTGAAAGCTGCTCGAATGACTCTCAGACTGTGAGGAACAAGAATCCCGGCTCTGTTAAAACCAAGACTGAAATGTTTGGCCTCAGTTCTAAACAATACGTCTTGATGAAAACAGGTGCAGCTCATCACCTGCCCGCCTCTACCTTAACAGTGAAGCATGGTGGTGGCAGCATCATATTGTGGAAGTGCTTTACAACAGCAAAAACTGGGAGACAGGAATGAGGGACAGCTGAATACCGCAAAATACAGAGATACAACGAAAGTCTCTTTCACAAAGCTCAGAGCCATAAACTGTACCAAAGGTTCACTTTCCAACACGATCAGTTCAGGTCCAAAATGCACAGAAGACGTGAAGAAGTGGTTCAGGGACAGCTCTGTGTGAAAGTCCTTGAGTTGCCCAGAGCCATGAATTGAACCCTATCAAACATCTCTGGAGAGACCGGACTCCTCCAACAGTCCCCATTAGATGGGGATTCCCCGGTCCAGGTGCACAAAGCTTGTTGCACCAAACCTAAACAGACCAGAGGCAGGAACCAAAGGTGCTTCAGTTCAGTTTGAAGGGAAAGCTCTGATACTCATGGAAATTAAACATTTTAGTTTTTAGGTCATTACAGGCTACCGAGTGTAAATTATTGAGGGGGAAAGAAGTTTAAATTGTTGTAGTACCAGACTACAGACCAAAATTACAAAAAAAGTGAAGGACATCTTAATACTTTCTGAAGCCATTGTACAAGGGATTACTTGTGTAATATTATAATACCTAGTCTACACATTCAGATAAACTCAGAAAGAATAAAGGAGAAGAACTGAGTCATTCTAACTTACTGTTCTCTATTAAAACGATGAAGATGCAGGTGAAGATCTTTAGGACTTCAGCTGACACTACAGCTGACGAGGCCAGATAGCGAGGACTATCTTCCTTCAGGGTACGGGAGTAGCGCATGGTCAGCACCAGTGAAGTGGTCTGCAGCACCAGCACCCCCAGGGACGCATACTTTAACCACGTAGAGTTGGTTGAACTCAATACCATGGTGGGGGCTCTTTGAGTTATCAGATGATGCAGGTGCCTTTAGGACAGAGCGAAACGAAAAAGAGTAAAATCAAGTCTGCAGAGGAAAAGAACATCTGTATTTTTTAAGACATTTTCTAATACCCACTTTGTTTTGTATCATGGGATTTAACTGTTTTGATATTGGCTGTGGAAATATTGATTTGGTATTTTTCAAAACTTCTCATGGTGTTTAAATTTCAAAACATTTCAAGGATTCAAGGTTCTTTATTTGTCATATATACCACACGGGGGGGGGGGGGGGGGGGGGGGGGGGGGTCAGGTGTGTTTATTCCTTTTGAAGTCCACAACCACCTCCTTTGTTTTCTCCACACTGATGTGAAGGTTGTTCTTCTTGCACCAGCTCTCCAGGCATTCCACCTCCTGCCTGTAGCTGAACTCATCGTTTGTGATGCATCCCACCACTGTATCATCTGCAAACTTTATTATGACAGCCTGGATGGGTAGCTGCACAGTCAAATGTGAGCACAGTGAGCAGAAGGGGGCTCAGCAAACATCCATGAGGGGAGCCAGTGCTGAAGGTTATGGTGGAGGAGAAGTAGTTGTGGATACTCACAGACTGTGGTCTGTTTGTTAAGAAGTCTAGTACCCAGTTGTAAATGGAGGGGCTTAGTCCTAATGTGAATAGTTTGTCCATCAGGGTTTGGGGGACCATGGTATTGAAGACAGACGTGAAGTCCACGAAGAGCTTATGGACGTAGGAGTCCTTCTGCTCCAGGTGGGTGAGAGCAGTGTGGACCACAGAGGAGATGTCAACCTTTGTTGATCGATTCTTGTGGTATGCGTACGGGTGATGGGTGAGGGTCCTCGCTGATGTTGATGGTTGTGTTGATGTGAGTCATGACCAGTTTTTCAAAGCATTTAGCGACTATCGGGGTGAAAGCCACTGGCCGCTAGTCATTCAGACCAGTCACTGTAGAGCTCTTTGAGACTGGGATGATGGTGGCAGTCTTCAGGCAGGTGGGAACTGTCTCCAGGGTAAGTGAGGTGTTAAAGATGTCGGCCAGCACCTCGCAGAGCTGATCAGCACATTCCTTCAGCACCTTCCCGGAGATGTTGTCTGGGCCAGTTGCTTTGTGAGGATTAATCTTCTTAAAAGTACTCCTCACTTTGGCTGAGGTCACACTGAGAAACTTATTCTGGTGGTGAAGCGAGTCTGGTGCTGTGTGGTCTGTTTGGGTCTTCAAAACGTGCATAGAACTTGTTGAGAGCATCAGACAGTGATAAGTCTATAGGACATTGTTCACTTCTGCTTTTATAATCATTTATACACTTAATGCCCCTCCACATTTATCACATTTATCCTTACATGTTAATTAAAACTTAGAAAATCAATGTGTGCATAAATTACTTGATTAACTGCAGAAGCAAAAGTGTTCAATTACTTTACCTGTAAATTGCTTATTAGAAATATTTACCTGTAATTTTTTTTAATAGGCAATATGACCATTTGTATTGATAATCTGCCTGAACATTCTATCCATTGTCGTTTAATCTTTTTGTGCAGAAGCATCATTATTTATCAAAGTTGGAAAGTTTGTACAAACTGATTAAAATCTGTTCAAAATTTATTTGTGGCTTAAAAACTCTGTTGTACACATATTTTTTCTTTCAAAGCTTTTCTGCCATTTACTGCTTTTCCGTCTCAGTCCAACTGTCTTTAGTTAGATTTAAAGATATTTGGATGCAGTAAACAAACATGACGCTGTAGCTGTGACAAAAGGTGGCAAGTACTTCTTTTTAAATGATTGCTTTTAAGTCAATTTAAACATCCAAAGGCAACAAAAGAGTTTACTAAGAAGGATGAACATGTTTGTAAAGGCACTGTATATACTGTATATGCACATACACACACACACACACACACACACACACACACACACACACACACACA